TGCTAATAAAGTGTTGTGGCATTCCAGCTAAGCTTGTCTCGGCATTCGTTACTGGATGGAGGAGGGGGTCAGAACATGAATATATGCAGAGAAATACTCTCCCTTCCAAGCAGCACAATGCAGAATTACGATTTGTAATAAATCATTGCAGTGAAAGCAGACACTTTTGTCTACCATTTCCAGATGCCTATTACAGCAGGGATCCCCCCCGCCCTTGGTCCAAGGACCAGCACTGGTCCGCGGTATCCCAAAAAGCAGGTCACACAAACAAGCAAAGCCCCATCTGCGGGGTGCAGGCAGCACATGAAACCACGCCCCCTACGCTCCGCAGAAGAACCTCTCTTCATGGTACTGGCCCACTCTATTACAGAATATCCAAAATACGTCATTTGCATCAATGTCATTTGTGCAATAAGAAATAATACATTGTGACAAATAATGCTGAAATAAACAGATGCAACATACAATTAAGTAATTACTGTCACAATGATAATGTTGTACTGGGCATGTCCAGACATGAGATTCGTCTATTTTAATTCTTTATACTGTAGAAACAAAATGAAGCTACGTTTCTTTATGGGCTATGTATTAAAAAATACTAAAATTAGTAAAATTTTAAATAATTATTAAATTATTAAAATTCTGAACTACAGATAGTCCTCAGCTTATGACCAAAATTGAGCTCAAAAGTTGTTTTTAAGTAAGGCATTTGTTAAGTGAGTTTTGCCCCATTTTATGACTTTCCTTGCCACAATTGTTAAGTGAATCACTGCAATCGATAAGTTAATAACCTGATTGTTAAGTGAACCTGGCTTCCCCATTGACTTTGCTTGTGAGAAAGTGTTGCAAAAGGTGTGTTCACACTGCAACAGTCATAAATGTGAGTCAAGTTTGTCAAGCATCCGAATGTAAATCATGTGACCTGACCATGGGGATGCTGCAACGGTTGTAACTGTGAAAAACGGCCATAAGTCACGTTTCAATGCCGTTGCAACTTTGAATGGTCACTAAACAAACTGTTGTAAATCAGTTTGATTTACAACCTGTAATTCTATATTTAAGATTACAGCTTTTTCAAGTTCATTTCATCACCAATCTATATACCAATATTTTTCCTATTTGGATTGTACCATTACTACTGTGTGCCTTTTATTTACCATATTTTTTGGAGTATAAGATGCACCAGAGTATAAGACGTACCACTATTTTGAAGAAGCAAATTTTAAAAAAAAAAGTTTTTGCACTCTGCAGACCTCCCCAAAACAGGCTGTTTTTTGGTGAAAACGGTCCCGTTTTTTGTCAAAAAAGGGCATGCATACCCTTTAGGAGGCTTGTAGAGTGCTCCTGGGGACTGGGGGGGGGCAAAAACGAGAGAAAAAACAGCCCGTTTTTTGCTCATTTTTGTCCTCCCCAAGAACACTCTGGAAGCCTCCAAAAGGTTCTGCACAAATATTTTTGCAAAGGGAACGGGGTTTCAGGAGGCCAAAAATGCTACATTCAGTGTATAAGGCGCACCCAGATTTTCACCCTCTTTTTTTGAGGGAAAAAGGTGCGTTTTATATTCCAAAAAATATGGTAGTTTGTTGAATTCCATTTAAAATATGAAAACCAAATCATTTTTTAAAAAATTCTGCAAAATGGCAGTCCACAGAATCAAGATGTTATTGATTGTGCTCGTTGTTTCCTTTTAATAACATCTTATCTTGCAGAAGTTTCAAAAGTATACTTTATAATGAATATATGCAGAGAAATACTCCCCCTTCCAAGCAGCACAATGTAGCTCCTGCTAGCTTTGCAATGAAGAGGACTTGGGATGAAGTTCAACAACGTCATTGAGCCATGAAGGTCACCTGTTTTTAGCTAGGATCTTTCACAAGGACCCAGGCACTTCATTCATTGTCTACACTGCTGAGTCCTACCCTGCTCCCAAACATAGGATATTTTTTTTTTACCTCAACCTCATTATCCTTCTGTCCTTCTGGGGGTTCATCAACGTTTGGTGGAATGCTGTTATTAACATTGAAGGAGACAGTAATCCTAGGGAACAACACAGCCACAATTAGCAAACCAAGATCAATGCAGGAGAGCAGACTTGACTGTAACACTTGGCCTCCAATGCTTCTAATTTCTCCAAAACTGTAATGCACACCAGGGGTGACGTTCAGCAGGGTCCGACAGGTTCTGGAGAACCAGTAGCGGAAGTTTTGAGTAGTTTGGAGAACCAGTAAATACTACCTCTGGCTGGCCCCAGAGTGCGGAGGGAATGGGAATTTTGCAGTATCCTTCCCCTGCCATGCCCACCAAGCTACGCCCACAGAACCAGTAGTAAAGAAATTTGAATTTTACCACCGATGCACACATTGACCTAGCTAGATCAAACGAATCTCAAGAAAAGCACAAACTGCACCAGTTGGAAGCCCTATGAACCAATCCTTAAAATTTAAGGATTGAGAGCCGAGGTGGCGCAGTGGTTAGGGTGCAGGCCACTTCAGCTGACTGTTATCTGCAGTTCAGCGGTTCTAATCTCACCGGCTCAAGGTTG